TATTATATTAATATGATGTAGCACATTAATTGATTTGTATACATTGAACCATTCTGGCATACCAGGAATAAATCCCACTTACTTATGTTACATGTGATCATCTTAATATGCTGTTGGTTATCATTAGATTTTGCTGAGAATTTTTATATCCACATTTATATCTATATTTATAAGGAACATTTGTCTATAGTTTTCTTTTTTTATATTGACTTTGTCTTTGGCATCAGAATATTGCTGGCTTCATAAAATAAGTGTGGAAATAGTCCTTTTTCAATGTTTTAGAAGAATGTAAGAAGGATTGAAGTTAACTCAATTCATCTTTACATATTTGGTAGGACTTATCAATGAGGGATTTGTTCCTGTGCTTTTCTTTAATAGGAAATTTTATTACTGATTTATGCATTAGTGGTCTGTTTAGATTTTCTATTTCCTCATGATTCAATCTTGGTAAGCCGTCTACAAGAATATATCCACTTATTTCAGGTTACTCAATTTATTGGCACACCATCCCTTATGATCCTTCTTATTTCTGTGGTATCAGTTGCAACATCTTTTCTTTAATTTCTGATTACTCATTGAAGTCTTCTCTCTTTTTTCCTTCATTTGTCTAGTTAAAGATTTTTCCATTATAACTTTAAAAAAATTATTCCATTTCACTGATTTTTCAATTGTTTCCCTATTTTCTATTCAATTTATTACTATTCTATTAATTTTTTTCTTTTTGTTAACTTTGATCTAAGTTTGTTCTTCTTTCTCTAGATGTTTCAGTTGTAGTTAGGTTACTTATCTGTGAACTTCTCTTATTTGTTTTAAAGATTTATTTATTTATGCACACTAGAGCTGGGGTACAGGTCAGAGGTGCAGGGGGTGGCAATGAGAGAATTCACCAGTGAAACAGAGTGGGGAGCAGAACAGGCAGATCTACTGAGACACATTGCTGAGAGGAGCAGTGGGTGAGACAGGGGAGGTCTGCACACCATGTGGGTCATCTCCCTGGCTGGGGATCGAACTCATGCTTTATTAGCTGCAGATAACTTCATAGTGCTGAGACCTAACCCCTTGCACCATCGGGGAGTCCCCAGAACTTCTCTTTTAATGTAGCTTTTTAATCTTATAACTTTCCTCTTAGTGACACTTACACTGTGTTTCAAGTTTTGATATGTTGTGTTTTGATTTGTCATTAGATATTTTCTAAGTCCCAGTTTTGAGTTTTTGACTCAATAATTGGTCAAGCATTGACTAATTTTCACATTTGCTAATTTTATTTGTCATTGATTTCTATTTTCATTTTATAATGGCAGGAAAAGATACTTGACATGATTTCAATCTTTGAAATTTTGTTAAGCTATGCTTGTTATCTAACATAGAGCACATTCATTGTGAGCTTGAGAAAAATATTTGTTATTAAGTAAAATGTTCTGCATATGTCTTTTAGAGTCAGTTGGCCTACAGTGTTTATTTCTGTTGTTTCCTTATTGATTTTCTGCCTGGATGTTCTGTCCATTATTAAAAGTTGGGTATTAAAGTTATTATTGTACTGAGTCTATTTCACCTTTCAGATCTTGCAGTGTTTGGTTTATACATTTTATGCTCTGATATTGGGGACAACTAAAGTTATAGTTATATATTTTCTGATGTATTAACACTTTTATTATTACATAATGATCCTTCTCTCATGACAGTTTTTGACATAAGTCTACTTTGGCTAATATAAGTGTAGTTACTTTGCTCTCTTTTGGTTATAATTTTCATAGAATATCTTTTCCCACTCCTTTAATTTCAGACAACTTCAAAACAAAAACTAGTCTATTATGTCATTATTATTGAAAACTTTTGATATAATTCTACTAAATTCTAGAAATCAATGAACTGTTATTTTAAAACCTAAAACATATAATACATATTAACTTGATGGCAAACCCTGTAAAATTTCAATACATGGCAACTAAGTATAAACAGTTTGAACTTTAAAATAATTTAAAATAATTTAAAATTTGTGTATAGGGGCCTCCCCGGTGGCACAGCGGTTGAGTGCTGGGTTGCGAAGCTGCCCGCAGTCTCTGCAGCACCAGTTTGATCCCTGGCCTCTGGGCGAGGGTCCCTCATGGCGCACAGACCTCTCCTGCCGCCTGCTGCGACCCTGCTGCTGCTTTTTATAGTCAGTTCTTGGGATCATAAGAAATAGAAATACAAAAGACCAAAGATGGAATACCCACAAAAAATATTAACTACTCTGTTGAAAATGATAATGCTAATAGTGTATATTTGCATAAGACATTTGCTTTAAAATAAGTGTAGATGACTAAAATAAGGATTTATTATCTTGTTTTTGATTCTTTGCTTCATCTCAACTCCACAGGAAACACATCTGTTTACAGTTTTCCCTTACCTGTTTTTTCTCTTATGTAGAATTGCTTTTCTTAACAAACATTCCAGTAAGTTTCATGCATGAGAAAACCAAGTGTGTTTGAAATTGATAAAGGTTGTGAAGAGCTGTATATTAGCTAAACATAACTTCTGAAAATATATTTTAAGGCAAATCTTATCAGCCAAATGTCAGAATCACTACACTGATATTTAGACTAATAGAACAAGCTCACTCTGGAAATAAGTGAGCTGTTAACCAGAGATTCAAACTCTAAGCATAGGTAGAAAAAATTATTTGTTCTGTGTATTCACTGGTAATCAAAACAACTCCTTTGGTATTCTCTGTTTAAATAGAGGTGGATGGTAAACATTCTATAACAATACTTTTAAAATAAGGAGAGGGAATGCTTATAAGTTACTTCTCAAAGAAAGAAAGGAATTGTTCTTTGCAATTTTTCATAAATATTTTTTTCTTTGTTGATACTTTTTGGATGCTGCCTTTCCTCATTTGTGGTACAGATTCGTAATGCAATAACCCAAAGACAGTGTGCATGTTTATGGAAGTGGGAGATGGTGAAGTATTTAGGTGTGTAAAGCCACCTAAAAACAAAATAATAATACCCTCAGGCCTATCCAGAAATAAAACAGTTAACTGGCTATTTCCTTGGTGGGATTGGTTTTAACATACATCTAAATCCTACATGTGAGTTAAATGTAGATAAGTAAGTAGATATGGTTATTCTTATAGACTAAGAACCATATTTCCCAATGAATTGTTTCAGAATGTGACATAGTCTTACTCATTACTAATATGAAATCTGTATACTTATTTTCAAGAAACTGGCATAATCACTCATTAATACAACAAATAGCATACATTGCTTTTAAAACCATTTAAGTACATATACACCATGGAATATTACTCAGCATTCAAAAAAGATAAACACATGCAATTTGCAGCAACATGGATGGTGCTAGAAGGTATCATGCTCAGCAAAACAAGCCAGAAAGAAAAAGAAAAATACCCGATGGTCTCACTCATAGCAGGAATCTAGAAAACTTAAATAAGGGACCAGGAAAATGAATAACTATAAGAAAGTGAAAATCAAAATCAACAAAAAACTATGAACCAGAGACACTCTATGGGGTGTGGGGGACAGGGAGGGGAGGGATTGGGGTCAAAATAAGGGGGTTGCAATTGTATGGGGAATATAAAAATAAAATTTATTATTAAAAAAAGAATGATGTTCAACAAAGAATTAAAAAAAATAAAATCTACAAAACTAAAAAAAAAAACCATTTTAGTTACATGTATATAGGTAAAGTTTAGCAATGCCATCTTTATATACACACACATACATATATATACTCACAGAGTAAATCATAATATTAGATTGAAGAAATTTGTTGTAAAATATATACTATTAGAAATGGATCTATTCTTCATGTTTATTTTTTACTTTCTCATTACAGATTCTAAAATGTCCATATTATATACTTATCCTCATTGATTTGAATTTTTCCACATGATGCAAAGAACTGTCTGTCTTAAAATAAAATTGACAAGGATACTATATATATATATATAGTATATGCAGTATATGTACTATATATAAATGTACTATACGTACATAAAACATATATATATTTCTTTAATTTATATTAGGTATTTTCTAGATTACCAATTTTTGAATTATATATGATCTAAGAGAATCTATTAGAATATATCATTAGTGTGGGTCATAATGGCTAAATGCTTTTGTTTTAATATATGACTGTAAATAACTTTAATCTGTTATTAAATTGCTCTAAATTGCTAAAGTTGTTTTTTACACAGTAAAAAAAAAAACTCCATTTCACTACATATCCTTATCCCACAGCAAATGACAAAATAATTTGATAGTTTCATACAATATTTCATACGATTAAATAATATTTGCAGTTAACTAACCTTATATAAGGTTTAATGGGAGACAATGAAATTATCAGCTCTGCTATAAAATCTTTAAAAATAAAATATATTAAACAGTTACTTTAAAATTAACTATAAGTTGCATAAGGCCTACATTCTCTACATAAATTCCTGGATTTGTAGTCTATTTTAATGGTACATGTGAGAAAATACAAAATAAATTTTACCAATAATGTTCATATTACAGAAAAAAATATAGTCATAATTTATAATTTATTATTGACATCTGAATCTATTGCTGACCTACCCTGTCAGCAAAGTTAGGTTGGAGTGGTTAACTATCTTTTCAACTTATTTTTACAATTTACATAGGCATGGCATGTTGTTTGACTGTGAGTCATATAACTGGAACCAAGAAGTATGTGACAGGAAACCAAAAAGACAGGAAAAGGAAATAACTTGACCTCATTTAGAAGCAAGGGGTCAATCCACCAGAAAGATTCAATCCTTTGAAAAGGACATTCTCCCATGTGAACTGATTTGTAATTATCCAATGGATTCAGCCAATTCTGCATTCCTCTGCCTCCATGCATTTTACCTAATGATCTCTTGTCAAATACATTCCTGTAACACATTCCACTCCACAGCAGTGGAATTCAACTTTTTTGATCTCCCAAGCCCAACTTCCCAAAATACAATATAAACCATATGAGGAACCTACCTTCTGATAACCCAGCTCCACAAATAGTCCTTTCTTTTCTCAAATCCAAGCAGAATATTGTTGGCATCTCTGAGTAGCAGGTAACACCTTTTAATGTAAGAATGCATGTGTTATTTCATCGAAGGTATTAATAAACAATACCAAAGATGACACTATATTAAAGTATAATTTAATTATTAATTACCCAGGTATATCCCCAAATAGGGATATCTTACTAAAATTAATTTCCAGAATTTTATTTGTAACTTTTTACCAAAGTTTACAAGGCTGTATTTTTAAAAGATTCTTAAATTTGCTTCAATTTAACATAAGAGTCTGTATTTCAATTTTTACTTAAGCTAGTTATATACTTCCCGCTAGGTCACTTTATTAATGATTTGAAGAATAAGCAAGTGTATAAACCACTATTGTAAAAATCACTCAAAATAAGAAAACAAACAAAAAATAAAGAGAAAAATAACATGATGTCACTACTTTGAGACAAACAATAAAGTATGAAGTAGTATTTTTAGGATATTTCTGGTGTCATCGAAGATAAATGTAATAAGTGAATTTTTGCTGTAAGAAATACTTTGGAAACTAATGAACTCAAAACTCTAATCCTACCCATATGGAAGCCAAGGTCCCAAAAGACTAATTTATCAAAAATCAAAGCTGAATTGAAAATCAAAATATTCACATAATAAACTGTCAAATAATATGAAACAAATTCAATCGTTTATTTTACTTCATCAAATCTCTTTATCAAGCCATTTCTGTGTTAAAACACTACTAAATAGGGCCTCCCCTGGTGGCACAGGCGGTTGAGTGCTGCGCTTGAAGCTGTCCACAGCCTCTGCTGCACCTGTTTGATCCCGGCCCGCAGCGAGGGTCCCAGATGGCGCAGAAGACCTCTCCTGCAGCCTGCTGCTCCCCTCAGCAGTGTATTTCATCAGTCTGCCTGGTCTGTTCCCCACTCTGTCTCTGGTAAATCCTCTCACCCTCCCGCACATCTGGCCTGTACCCTAATTCTTGTATAAATAAATAAATCTTTAAAAAAAAAAAACCTCCACTAAATAATGGCAATGTGAGAAAGCAAGAAAATTGAAATGTTCCTATAAATAAGCAACCTACTTTTCATAAAGTAATTAATATATTTTCTCATCTAAATAATGACTGTTTAGTAAAAACAGACAAGTTAAATGAATAATAATGATATGATATTTAAACTTATTATGAATAATATCCCAATCACAGACTTAACTCTTAAACAGTTCTCTTATATTTTCATGAAAGATTTCAAGTACTGAAGTTGGTAAAGTTTTTGACAGGTACAAATATCATAAAGATAAAACAAGAACATTAATTCATTATTGTCTGATGAATGATACTTCACACTTAAATTGTTTAGGTGCTAATTGTGATGACCCAACAGAAGACCCAGATGTAGTTCATTTACCAAAATTTTGAGTGTGTGAAAAATGATAAATGTCTATAATGATGTTCTATTTCTGCCCAAATGAATTTTGAAGCAATGAATCCCACTTCTTCTCTGACAGTACATCAGAGCATTGGGCAAAATATTTCCAAGATTAATAGCTTGTCATAGAAAGCTCACAATTATAATATATATATATATATATATATATAATTATATATCCCTATATTTGAAATTATTTCATGTGAAACAGTGAAGAACTGCAGAGGGTGCATATAATATCTTAAATGAATATGGGAAGTGTCAATATTTCATTTAAAGCTTTCATGAAGAATGACGGTAAAAAGTTAAAATAGAACTCTATACTCAAGTAATATTTTAAAGGTTGCAAGCCAAATGTAGCAGTTTGGAATCACCAGCTGACAAACTGGCAAGAAGAATCAAAGTAGATCTTACAGAAAGTATGACAACCTTGCAGATAGGTTAAATTAAAATCTATTCACATGTGTAAGTGAAGGGAAGAGAAAGATTTTTCCTGACTCTAATGGAAGGAGGCTGCAGGTGAACTACAGAAATTAAAAATGTTGATATAAGCAGAAAATTCTCAGAAACTGCTATAAGACATTGATGTAGATTGCCTGGAATTTGAGATATTTACCCAGATATAGAATATTTCATAAAAATGTGAAATACAGTAATATTAACTTTATTCATTTTAACTTTATAGAAACAGAAACAGGTATTCTGAATATTGTTCTTAGCTCATGCTGTGTTCTGTTTTCTATAAGAAATCAATGCATCTGGAGGCAACTCTAATCTCACATGATAGCTCCAACTTCATGACTTCTCAAAGTCCCCATCTTCAAACTATTACATTAGGGATTAGGGTTTCAATATGTAATTTTGAGAACACACAAACATTCAGTCTAAAGCACTGACAGACTCATAAAATTGTTCTCACAATCAACTCATGTTTTCCTAGAATTGTCTGCTGAGGAAACAAGTTTTATGATCTACAGAGAGGAAGCACAAGAATTATTGGAACTGGGTTCCTAAGTAAAATAATATGGCAATATTCACACACTGACCTATTTGCTGAATGAATAACAAAACCAGCATTTTGGAATAACAGCTAGAGCTTATTTGCAAAACAAAATGGGACATATGTGTATCTGTCTGTGCATATATGTGTGTATGTGTGTATGAATATATACATATCATGCATGTGTGTGAATATATATACACACATACTGTATGTATGAATATATATAAATATATAGTACATTAAGTACTAGTATCTTGTTCTATAGAACTGCAGCTAGAAGATCTGGTCTCAGCATTTATTCCTATCTTTTCCTCTTTCTCATTAGTATACAACATTTTGTTCTCAGCTCCCAAGACTCAATGGCTTTCCACCAGAGTTCTCAATGCACCACTTTTGTGAGAAGCTGTGAATCCCAAGGATATTACACCTATAGGGACAGGTAGCAAAATTGTAAAGACTTTTCTATGGTATAAATCACTAGTTGCTCACAAACAGCACTGGACAGAGCTCTGAGAAAGCATCTATCATAATACATGCCTTGGGGTGGAGAACAGCTTAAGCTTTGTGAGGGGGACCAAAATAAGCTCCCCTAGATCACAATAACCTGCATCTATGGGAAAAGGGCAACAAAAAAACATTTTCTAAGGGCATAGTTGCAATCTCAATGTTGCTAGTAAAAAAAGAACAGATAAATAGCCACTAAATGGATAGGTGTTGGAATGGGCCTAGAACTAGAGACTATGGAAGGACAAGATAACTGGGAAGTTCAGTCCTCTGAGACATGGAATCAGAGTGCCTTCATGAGATGGTGTTTAACTGGAATGTTATTAGTATTCAGAGTAGCAAGAATTAGGTAAAAAGGAACAATATTTATCTCTGGGGATCCTTACAGAGGGAAACACAGAAAGTCTTAAAGTTAGGGTGAAGTAGATATTGAAAAAAAAATCAAACTAGGTTCAACCTTAAATCACAAATTATGCTTTAAAGAATGTGCAGGCTGTGATACATACATCGAGGTTAATTAAGATGCTTTCCTTATACCACATACAACAGTCAGAGAAATACTTCTTGTAGATCAACTGAAATTAACATACCAAAGGCAGAAATATTTGCAGGTATAAAGTGTATTCATTGGTTTCTCTTGTTCCAAAAAAGATACCAAGTTTTAATAAAAATAGTATGAAACTTTTGGAAAACCACATAACAACATACAGTCAAGAGAAAAATATATATAGTTTTATTCAGATATAAGACTGCCGATGTAGTTGATGTGAAAATTTGGAAGTCATCTCTTTCACCAAAAGATTTGCCTTGCAGACTTATCTCATTTATTCACTTAATCTCCCTATTGGAGGATAATTGCATCTTTTCTAAGAAAATGGTAGTCAAATAGCAGAACAAGGTATTTAATTGAAATGTTATTTTGTTTTGAGGTGGTTTATAATTAAATACATAAATAGCTGAGAAGTCATGAAACAATTACTGTCAAAGCTATCATATTTACATTTTATATACATCTTAATGTATTTTCCAATGCTATGAAAAGTAATAAAATATATCATTAAGTTAGTATAAATGTATATTTCTAATTTTTTATTTCAAGTCTCAAATATAAACAACATTCCCAAACACTTTTATCTTTTAAGTGTGTAAAAAATATAGTGATGACATGGAAAGTAGAGGGCACTGAAGTGAAAGGGGAAATTGTGCTAAAATTTATTTAAAGTATCGTTCTCATCTTAAATAATTCATATTGTTTTAATAACATTCTCCAAGCATAAATCTCATTTTCTGGAAAAGAGCTAGACCTAGGAGTTTGAGTAGATAGATGTTTCAAAACATAAACAAAACAATTTTAAGATTTATACATATTTTTAAAAAGAAAACTCGTAACTTTGATTAATTATAAACATATTAAATGCTATTCAGAGAATTAATTTAACGTTTTCAGCAATACTCTTTCACTTTGCTCAACGAAAACTAGAGTGTGTAAAATGACAGTAAGAAAAAAAAGTCTTGCATTAACCAAGAAACTCATTAAAAAATAAGGTATATGGACAATAAAGGTCCATCCAGAGGAAAACAAGTAATTATATTCAAAATTGTCAAGAAGAAATTTCCCTATAAAGGTTTTCATTTTTGATTGTCAAGTATTATAATATCAACCTTAAACCCAATCAAAAATTGTTGTTCCCAGTTCTCAGTGTATCTATGGTAGGACTAGAAAATTTGTATCACTACAATTGCTCTAGTGATCATTGTATTAGGGCATCTTAGGCATTAGTAATAGATAGAATGACTAGCTTATCATGAAATAATTTAAAATAATTCAATTAACCATTTAATCTAATGCTTTAAGCACTGGGCATCAAATAGTCCAAGACTTCATTTGGAATACAAATCACTCTAAAATGTGTCTAGGAGTAATGAAAAACAGTTAAAGTATAGAAATCATAGTGATTGTAAGGAAAATATTGTGATGATAAGAATTAGTTTCATGAAAACAAGATTTCAAAAGCTAAATCACTGAAGTGCTCAAAGCATGGTAGGTTCAATCCATTATTGTCAGAGAACTAAGCATTTGTTTTCAAATCTAAGCCATCAATATCTGCCCTAAGGCATAAA